TGGGCCAGGCTGGCTGTCGGCTGGCCCACCAAGTGCTAGCACTAATTTAGACTGCACGCCTGGCCCGGCGGGCCGCCTGGCCACGCACGGTTGATATCACGAAGGCTTGGCATGGTGTTGAGCGAGTGTGACGATATTCAGCGATATTTAGCTAAGTACGGTCACGTGACCTCCACCCGCGCGGCGTGTAGCGCCCTGCCCGCCTATCCTCATCTATGGAGCTCCTCCGCGTCCATCCTCGCTCCCAGCACAGCCCAATAACGTCCAATTTGTGTGGGAAAACAGGCCTCTCGCGGCTGAGCGAGGAGCTTGCGAAGACTGCTTAAAGCGTGCAGCAACCAACGCTCGCGCGCGCACCCACGGATCGTTCAGCGCGTTGTAGCGCTTGTTGTAGCGCTCGTTACTCGCGTCCTCCACTGCTCCGCAGACGGAAGTAAATAGCCGTTTTACCACCTAAATTCGACGTGTTAGTTCTATTACTGAAGTCGAGTATGACAACAGGTATACTCAGTGATCATTTTTTGGCTAAATCGTGTTGTTTCGTGCCCAACGGCGTCCTCCGCGGCCATGGGGACGTCTTGGCATGGTGTTGAGGACTTAGTAGTCGCTCATATCCATGTCGTCGTCTCTCAGCACGTCCTCCCGTATTAACCACTGTTCAGTGTCCACCCACCCGCTGCCCATCCAGCTGCGGAGGCACTCAGTGGCCTCCGCGGTGTCCTCAGTGATGCGTGAGCGAAGTTTGTCAATCGTTCTGCCAGCTGATGAGAACGTCCTTTCACAGTCAGAGGACATGGCCGGGCACGCCAGGAGGTCCAAGGCCATCCTGCTCAGCTTGGGATACTCATTTTGGTGATCAACCCACCACTGAATGAGGTTCGTGATACCCTTAACGCGTGGTGTTGAGATATAGCGCTCCAGCTCGTCTCCTGTAGTGTCGTTATACTCACCGAATATGAACGCCTCCACCTCGTCCTCCCACTCAACATCTCTGAAGCCCTCTTCAGACTGTGATTCGCGTGGTATAGGGAGAACGGGTGTTGCCGGGCCCTTATACTGTTGCCATAGATCGTGTGTAGCATCTAGTGCTGCTTCCACCCAGTCCTTGCCCTGTGGCCAGTTACGCTTAAAATAGCCTAACTTAAGGCCTGGATGGAGTATAATAGCAGCTCTATAAGCAGGCGTGTCGTCGGTGAGGCTATAATATTTATCCAATACTTTCCAGGCGAGGTTAATAGATGCCTGGAGGTGTTGTGAGTCCTCCTACCCACTGTACTTGCGTTTGGCGTCCTCTAGGCGTTGTAGGACTATATCCATATGGGCGAGTACCCCCCAGAGAGCACCCTCTCTACCATTAACTGGCTTACCCTCGAGCTTGTCAGTAGCACGCTTCATCGGTTGTAGCAGTGCCTTCAACTCAGCGAGTTCTTGCCAGTCGTTGCCATTCAGTGTATCCTCCGCAAGGTCGTTGGTGTGGAGGCAATATTCGTTGATAGCGTCCTGTAGAACCAGCGCACGAGATATCATCTCATAAGTACTGTTCCATCTAATGCCTCCGTTTAGTACTAAACGTAGTACTTTCTTATCGATATTGTAGAGCTTCTGAAAGGTTTCGAACCGTGCCCGACGCTGAGGACTATGGCGAATATACACAACAATATTGTGTAGTTTACCAATAGGGCCACGTCTCCGCCAATCCACAACGTGCTGCTGGGTGGTTTCAGGGGTATTATCCGCCTCAATATCTCTTTCAATTTGGGTGAGATCTTGGGTGTAATCGTCGTCTACTGCGGTAGCGGCAATATCCGCGAATGCCTCTGTATCTATACCGAAAAGCATGGCCTTCGCTACTAGGTTGAAGATATGGCCAGCACACCGTAGGCGGGCGTGTTTATCGTTGAAATTAAGTACTTTTGCAAGCTCTGAGAGTGTAGTGTTGTTGTTAGACGCGTTATCAACAACAAAGTACCCAATATTGCCCGCGTTGATTTGATAGCGGCGGAGGACGTTCGCAAGGGTGTTGGCAATGTTTACACCTGAATGTTGTCCTTCTACGACTGAGAGGGCCAGTAGGGGTGCTTGATAACCGTCTTCGTCGATGAAGTGGGCGTGGACTGCTAGTAGTGGCATATCGTTACCTGACGTCCACATATCGAAGCTAATACTTATCTTCGACAGTGCGTGTTGTATCCTCTCGCGTAGTGCCTCACTAGCGGCCTTATAGAGTTGAATGATTTGGTTGCGAAGAGTGACGTCCGACATCTTCGGCAAAGAAACGTCGCCTGCTACTGCCCGAAGAAGCTCTAAATGGCTGCTATCAACGGCCGCCTTGAACGACTGATTCGTCTTTATAACCCATTCGAAGAAGCGAGCTTTATAGCGGATGATATCAAGCGTGCGGGCCGGGAGGGACTCTGGCGATAGCTCGCTGATTGATGTCCTCCGCGTATCTCCATCTACGGTAATTTGGTGTCTCTTCAGGTGTCTCGAAGCGTGGCTTGTTGTTGTTGTTTGGTACTGCTTGTGTCGCCCAGTTACATGGCAACGCTTGCAGAGCCAGTACTGCTTGCCATTAGCCACGTGATTGGCCAAGAACCCGTGTCCCCATATGTGACTTGTGCGCCTGCGGAGCTCCGCCCGCGTAAGCGGCACCATAGTGAAGCCTGTGGCAATAGCAGGGTTGAAGAGGGACCCGTCAATATCTCGTAGGCGGGGGATGTAGGGCCCGCGGACGTCGCTGGAGGCGTGGATAATGGTGAGGTCGTCGGGGGTGGTTGTAAGCGTGGAGATAGTGCTGGCCGTAGGGGACGTCTGTCTGGTGGTAGGAAGTCTGAAGGCCATTTTGAGGGTTAAATTGAGGTTGTAGGAAGCTGCGAAATTTGTATGTGATGGTCCCAAGGGTGCTGCGTCTTTTGCGACTGCTCCGGGTGAGATGCACGCCTTATAAGAGGCATGGTGTTGACAAGTCGGTGGTGTGCGGAGGTGCGAGACGCTCCGCAGCACCACCGAACGATGGGTTGAGGCTGAAGCTGACGTCAAATTAGGCACGCCAAGACGCCCGATTA